AGGGCGACCACCATGGTCCGCGGCAACATTCTTTCATTTCCTTTCCTTCATGATTCTTTTACAGCTGCTATTCCTACGCCCGCACTGAATGAACGAAATAAATTAAAACAAAAGCATGCATAGCAATCAATTTATCCACACCGGTGGATCGAAAGTCGCATGCAGGAGAAAATCACTTCAGGAAGAGTAGGAATTGTCAAAGGAAATAGCCATTTGGAAATGATGATAAGGTAGCCCCCAAGCAAACACCACCAACGTTCCAAATCGGGAAAAAATTTCGAATCAGGTCTGCTAAACAGTGTCTGGAGAGAATAGCCAAAATCTGTCTCCAACATTTTGCAGATAGACATCTCATTCATGTTCCTGCAAAGCAGATTGGACTCAAATTCAGAACTGACAAAGTTTAAAGCCTCGCAAGTTGTCGAGTGGCCCGTGAGAAAAGTTGCGTGATCCCGACTTAAATTTGCTTAAACTTTTTTTCCTTGCTCACAATGGAGTGGTGGGATGGTCAAGAAGGCAGCTAGAGCATCCCTCCATAAAATGTTGGGAGCCGATTTGGCCAATCTTGCTGCATGATTAACTGGTGCATTTATTTCGTCCATTTGTCCATATTTGGAACGTTGGTGGTGTTTGCTTGGCAGCTACCTTAACAAATCTACCTGTCACCTGAGTAATAAATCAACGCCATGAGTGACTCGAAGGAGGAAAAAATGGATAAAATTCAGCTGGTTTATCTGCTGTACGAGCATCTGAATAACAAAGGTCTAGAATAGGTGAATTCAGCATCCGCATTGGTTGCCGACGGAGGAAATGGATGGGCGGCAATGGTGATCGGCAAGTGGTCGGCATGATGGCGCGTATCATTTAAGTTGATCCGTTGTTGATCCTGCGGACTGCCGTATGTACGGAATCGACGCTGTGGTACGGCAGCCGCCTTCTGGCTGCCGTCGAACTGTCGAATACGGTTACGGTCAACAGCCCTACATCGGGTGAGGGTGACTAGTACTGCCACGGTCGATGGTGGCTCTTTTTCACAGTAATAGTCAGGGAATTCCGCGGGGACCTACAATGCATTTCATTCCTACATTTCCTCATTGATAGCTTACAGACTCCTACATACGTTAAATTTGGTCGAACTCGGGATTTTCCGACCAATCACTCGCTGCGGAGGTAAAGTGGACTAATCAGAGCACGCCTTCTCCTCATGTCTACCCATCCCACAGACTCGCACCCGCCTCCCGCCTATGAAGATGTTTCGACACGCTACGGAAAAAATGGGTATTCCCCTGAGGAGCCCAATGATCTTCGTAGGAGGGCATCTGAGCCGCGCTACCGTAGGCCGCAGCGGGGAGTACACGTTGCCTCCAGCTACTGACGTCGTCTTCAGTATACTACCGTGTCTACGCTGTGGATGGGGCTCTTCCCTGCCAGAATCCCTGTGGAGACAGTCTATACATCGGACGCATCAAGGCCACTTCGGTCCCACCACCTCACACCAGTGCATCGCTGAAGCGGGCGCTGGTGCAGGTTGAGGGTCTCCCGGACCCTACCGGTGATCTCACCAGCCTTTTTCAGACGAAGGATGCCCGGACTGCGATGGGTAAAAACGACCGTGTGGACCTCCTGACGGGAGACATTGGAGCGACGGCCCAGAAAGCTTTGGCGCTTGTCTTCCTCACCACCCCCAAAGAGCCGCTGAACACTCCATCCACTGACGAAGAGGGCGGTGTCGGGATGCCCGATCGTGAGTAGGTTCTTTGGTCACCCACAAACGACGTACTGAACACGCTGGTCCGTGTCAGTTTACTATCGGCTTTACAACCCCGGAGGTGAAGAGGCATCAGCGCGCTCCTTTGACACGGCGGTGCCAGCACTGGGAAGAATCAAACGAGACTCGATTGCCCCGCCGCGCAACGTGCTGTCGGTGAAGCGACGCATCGCGAAGGTCGAGGGGAAACCCATCTATAGCTTCGCGCATTTCTTCACAGATATGCAAGCCGATACTGACCACCCATCTAATGAATTAGTCGCTGATGGCGCTGGGGCAAGCGAGCATGTCCCGATATTTCTTGTGCAGCCGGAACGCCGTCCGGGGTTACTCAATAGACCAATCATGATCTTGGAATCGGTGTGGAAATCGTTGCTTTCCTCCGATTATCGGCGCCCAAGTGATTGGTTGTCCCCTTCGCAAGGTGACATTCTTTTCACTGACGGTGTTCATCATTGGTCTGCGAATGGTTTCTATCTATATAACGCCGTCGATGACAAGGGACAGCGGGGATGTGAGCTATCTTAGTATTCACCTCTTCCTATGCATCCTCATGAAGTTATTTGCGCAGGGATCTCAGCACGTAAGATGACGCTCTTTCATTTTCCTTTTGACCGGTCCTCATCGCAGATATACCAGATCCAAACCACAGCAAACTTCTCGATGAAGAACCAAGTAGTTCGAGTGAATGCAGCATCCAGTAGGGTTGCATAGGCTCGGTTGATTATCTTGAACGTTGTAATTTTGTATCCGACCACAGGATTTCATATATTGTCCGAAAGAAAGACAATCTTATTTTTCTGGTAGCAAACTTGAGTGGTGATTAAGAGCAAGAATATAATCGGGGCTGAAGGAACGGGATATCTCTCCAACAATGAGCTGGAGCGTTCGCACTCAGTGGAAGATGCTGCGAAAGACCCCGCCCAATTGCCTTTCCTTTCAGACCCAAGCTTCCAGCTACACAATCCGTGCACGATCTTTTAAAAATGCTCGACGACCTCATCCATACTGGGCCCTGTCTTGCAGCAAAAAAAAACCGTCACAGAAGTTTGCAAGAGTAGTCGGCAATACCACCCATCGATTCAAACCCCATGACATTCAGTGTGGAGCGAGAGAGAAGGGTGCAGGGTACGATCGAGGTAGAATGCCACGGCGCGCGGGGGTAGGCAAGGTTGAGAACGAACTGAGTCTACATCAAAGAGAACTTGAACGCCAGAAACGAGCGACACACAATAGCAAGTGGACAACAGTCGAGAATAAGACGGGCGAAGGGGTGATAGCGGCAGGGAGCATGCACGACAATGAAGTGAGAACCGTCTCCGGCATCCAGGAAAGACACAGCACACGCCGTCGGAATCGAACGGGACGCCCCCAAAGAAAATCGAGACTCACGGAAATACGACATCACAGCAGGCGGCAAGTACGTCTTCGCAGCCGCGAGCAACCCGTGCCCGTTCCAAAACTCTCGTTCCCGCTCCGCTGGCTGTGATCCCACTGGTTCCCAGCGAAGACGACGCTGTTGCGCGGGTAGCCGCCGGGGATGTCGGGGCCCGGTGTCGAAGGCATCGAGTGTAGGGGCGGGGATGTGGGCGGACGAGGATAAGCTTGGGGGTCGGAGGAGGAGAAGGTTGATAGGCCGTCGGGGTGGGGGCGAGGACGGGCATCGCTCGGATTTCGAGCTTTTACTTTTGGGAGGGAAGGCGCGGGGAGGGAGGAAGAGAAGAATGACGAGGAACGCGTGGGGTGGGTATTTTATACAGTCGGTATGCAGCGAGATTGTTAGGCGGGGCCCCATCATGGTACGCGTCCGTGGAGCATGACGTAGGTTGAACATGCACGTGCAGCCAATACAGCCGCAAATACCATCGATCAATTTGGTACGCGGGGGTGGTCACGGTGGTGGTTCAGCAAGAAATCAAGGGGAAGTGGCTTCTAGAAACTGAATGGAGCTGTAAGCTCTGCCAGCAAATAGAAAAAATTATTTTCTTGAAAGGATCTGAGTCTCATTAACTTATGTCGTCGGGTTGAACATGCACGTGCAGCCATAACAGCGGCAAATACCGTCGGTCACCTTAGTAGCCGGTGATCGTGGACTCGTTCGTTTAAAAAGAAAGAAAAGGGAAAGCTGCAGTCGGGAGAGAGATCTAAACGATAAACGACGGTACTTAGAAAAATTTATCGCTCCAGGGCAATGTCGTCGGGAGGAGTCGAACCCCGGGCCCCGAGTCCCTCTAATCTTGCTCTAATCAGTGCACATACACTCGAGACCATATCACCGAGGAGGACCACCGTGGTCCTCGACGACGCATCCTATCAGGTGTGTCCTTCCCTTACTGAGGATGGGGTAGCAATTATGGACCGAGAAGCAGTGCATCCACTTCTGAATCAACGACACTGAAATTTAAATATCACATATATAGATTCCACGGATGCTCCTGGTTCAGTGTTCCTATGTTGGCCACGGAGAAGCGAATAATGTACCAGAAAGTGCAGCTTATAAAATTGGCTGTCTGAAGGCAGGAGTTCCCAGGACATTCTGATCTTATGCCATGAGACTTATTATATGCAAGAACCTCCAAGGAGGAACGGAGCAGCCCATCGCACATGCACCATATTTAAGAAAGTTAGCATAGACGTAGACCATGCCGCCGGGAGGATTCGAACCTCCGCCTCCTTCTCTTCATTTTTTTGTACAGAAACTACGCATCGGGTGAGGGCGACCACCACGGTCCACGGCGGCATTCTATCCTTCCTTCACAGGCATTACTTGACTTTCTATCCACATGTATGTACTTCATACAATTGCATTAACGAAATTAAATATACTGTCGGAGGCACTAGTACGACGAGATAGAATAGAATAGAACAGGTCAGGGCTCGGCAGGGGATAGGTAGTGTATATCCAGATGAAAATAAAATAAAAAGGATGCGATAGTCGACAATGCAGCCGAGAGGATTCAAACCTCCACCTCCCTCTCAATTGAGAGAAAGGGCACAATATCGGGTGAGGGCGACCTCCACGGTCCACGGCGGCTTTCCCTCCTCCTTCACAGGCATTACTTACTTACTATCTACACCGACTTATTCAACAAATTGAAATGTTTCCCTCGAAACGGAGGCACTAGTACGACGAGAGAGAATATAATAGAATGGAATGGAACAGGGCAGGGCGGGCTAGGTAGGTTATATCCAGATGAATAAAATAAAATAAAAAAGATGGAATCCTGCGCAATGCCACCGGGAGGAATCGAACCTCCACCTCCCTCGTTAATAATTGAAGAGTTTCATCGGAGTGGGTGAGGGCGACCACCATGGTCCACAGCGGCTTTCTATCCTTTCTTCACAGTCACTACTATATCTACACAGACTTGACCCTCCCGTTAAACGAAAGAAAATATATCTGTCGAAAACCGAGGTACTAGTACGACAACAGAGAATGGAACTGAACAGGGCAGTGCGGGGCAGGGTATATCCAGATGAATAAAATAAATAAATAAAAAGATGCGATCCTGCTGGAAAATGCTGCCGGGAGGAATTGAACCTCCACCTCCCTCTCAACCGACGGAAACTGGTAACTGCGGAAATCGGCGAGGGCGACCTCCACGGTCCACGGCGGCATTCCTTTCCTTTCCTTTCCTTTGCTTTCCTTTGCTTTCCTTCATAATTCCTTTACAGCCGTTGTCCACACGTCCGCATTGAATGAACGAAATAAATCTGAAATCGAACAAATGGATGCATGGTGATCAATGGCAACTTCCCCGTGCTTCTGTACGTGAAAGAAGGAAAAAATGTTCCGCGCCAGATTCATGCCACCGGGAGGAATCGAACCTCCATCTCCCTCTCAATTGGAAAAATCCCACCCTATCAGGTGAGGGCGACCTCCATGGTCCACGGCGGCTTTCCTTCCTTTCCTTCAACAGCCATTATCTACTCACTCTTTGGATGAACGAAATCAAAATGTAGACACCATAAGGATCCGGGTTGCATCTCCGGCAAGCTTCCTCCATCCAAAATGTAAGCCTGCGCAGTGCGCACAACCGCGAACCAGTATTTGTGTGGGTTAGAAAGAATATCATCTCCCATCACTACTAATATTTGACTGAATGGCAAAATATCTTGCGATTCCAAGACTCACGCCACTGGGAGGAATCGAACCTCCGCCTCCCTCTCAATTGATGAAGAACCAAAAAGACAAATATAAGGTGAGGGCGACCTCCACGGTCCACAGCGGCTTTCCCTCCTCCTTCACAGTCATTACTTTACTTAACTTACTATCGACACAGACTCGTTGGAGCATTAACAAAATGAAATATAACCGTCCAAAATGGAGGAAATAGCGCGACAACAGAGAATGGAACTGAACAGGGCAGTGCGGGGCGGGGCGGGGTAGGTACGTTATATCCAGATGAATAAATAGAATAAAAAAGGATACTATTGCAGACAATGCTGCCGGGAGGAATTGAACCTCCATCTCCCTCTGCAAGATCTGTCTCGTACAACTCAGCATTGGGCGAGGGCGACCACCACGGTCCACGGCGGCTTTCCCTCCTCCTTCATAGGCATTACTTGACTTTCTATCCACATCTCTGTACTTCGTACAATTGCATTAACGAAATGCAACATACTGTATGCGTCCGAAACGGAGGCACTAGTACAACGAGATAGAATAGAACAGGGCTGGCTATGTAGCCTAGTAGGTTATATCCAGATGAATCAAATAAAAAATGGGCATGAATTGACTACCATGCCACCGGGAGGATTTGAACCTCCATCTCCCTCTGCAAGATCTGTCTCGTACAACTCAGCATTGGGCGAGGGCGACCTCCATGGTCCACAACGGCTTGTTATCCCTCCTTCACAGTCAGTACTTACAGTACTATCTACACATACTTGTATCAACGAAATATCATATATTGTATGCGTTCGAAGTAGAGGCACCAGCACGACAAGAGAGAATGGAATAGAACAGGACAGGGCAGTGCGGGTCAGGGTAGGTACGTTGTATCCAGATGAAAATAAAATAAAAAAGATGGGCGTCACATGCTCATGCCGCCGGGAGGAATCGAACCTCCATCTCCCTCTCAATTGGAAAAATCCCACCCTATCGGGTGAGGGCGACCTCCACGGTCCACGGTGGCTTTCCCTCCTCCTTCACAGTCAGTACTTACTATCTACACGTACTTGTTGCACCCATCCGTCAAACAAAATGAAATATAGGCGTCGAAACGGAGGCACCACTAAGACGAGACAGAATAGAAAAGAACAGGGCAGGGTAGGTAGGCGGCTATATCCAGATGAAAATAAGATAAAAAAAGATACCATCGAGGACAATGCCGCCGGGAGGAATCGAACCTCCATCTCCCTCTCAATTGACAGGAAAGGCCAGAGAATCGCGATCGGGTGAGGGCGACCACCACGGTCCACAGCAGCTTTCCCTCCCCTCCCTATATATCATTATCTACTCACTCTTTGGATGAACAAAATCAAATGTAAGCGCTGTAAGGATCCAAGTTATGTCTTCGCAAGCTTCGTCCGTTCAAAACGTAACCTCAAAACAGTATTTGTGTGGGTAAGAAATAATATCATCTCCGACTGAATGGCCCAAATAACTCTGGCCGTCCAACTATGCCGCCGGGAGGAATCAAAACTCCACCTCCCTCGGAAATACTTGTAGACCTGTGTCACCTCAGTGGGCAATGATGACCTCCACGGTCCACGGCAGCTTTCCTTCCATTCACAATCATTATCTGCCCCTTGGATGAACGAAATCAAAATGTCAGCGCTGTAAGCATCCAAGTTGTGTCTTCGAAAGCTTCCTCTGTCCATAACGCAACCTCGGGCAAAGATAATTCGCCGCGTCAAGTGGGCGCGGCGGTTGACGCGGCGGTCCAAAATTGGCGACCGCCGTACGCACGTTCTGGAGACCTTAGCTACCCCTTAATAGGCAGGCTATGTAACCCCCATGTATGGGTGTTGGATGGCCAATAATGTGGTTAAATTCAAATGGCCCTCCGGGCATACCTGGTACCTCCAAACATGATTCTTCAGTGCAGCAGTGGTATGGTTATATGGCTCAAGGTTTGCTCGGTCAACACTAAGTGTGCATCACATTGAGCCTGGTGGGGGATCATCCGTTGTAAATACTCTGAGCTTATGGCCAATGATCAGAATTCAAACAACTTGAATTCTGATTCTGAGGTAAGTAGTCATGGGACAGCAGATATGTGAAGTCTCGGATGGCTATATGGCCGTACTCATGGCATTTGAGGTAAATAATCTGTTATAAAGTTAAGTTCGACAAATTTCTAAGGGAGTTAAGCATATCAACCACTCCAGGTTGCATGAGGATGATATGCTGGCCACTCTCTATTCCATTAGAGCTTGTCATTAGCTCGGGGAAAACCCGGGCCAACATATGCCTGATGAGAGCTGATGAGAGCCCAATGTGAGATGCAGGCACATCGGATTATTTTCGGGACAGATTCGACCTCTATATTATTATCAATGAGCCAGTCCTTGATTGCTACTTTGAAAGCTGTCAGGATCCGTATATGGTTGTGATGGTATGACTTTGTACGGAAGGTTTCAGAGTCTCTAGTGATAAGTATGAAAATTCAGTTCAGGTTCCCCAGTAATTGTTTCCGAATGCTGAGCTTGAAATTTGGTTCAGGTTCGAACACAGTTTGAATTTGAAAAATTTCCCACCTTCAAACGGCCAGAATGTACGTCAAGTACAAAGCAAATGTAGGTAGATGTGCCTTGTGCTCCCATGGGGCTCTGTACTTGATCATTTGGAGCGTTGGATAATGCAATTGAAGTGATTTTCATGAGAAAGGGGGGGGGGATTTATTATACTCGCGTGGTCCACAACATGAACAAAGAGTCTACCAATCCGACCGAGAAGACCGAGATGGTCATCGAATTGTCACAAAGCTATCAGATGCTTTTAACACCCTGGCACCACATTAGATGGGGTAGACTATGTTTGAAACGGGTGTGAGGGGGTATAATTGCACTGAAAATCATCCTAAATCTAGCTAAAATGAGTGACAGAAATGGAATTGCGGTCCGGGTTTCGTTCACACCTGCTTCATCAGTAATATGACAAAATGGGCGCGATCTTTGGCTCTGGCGTCCTCGTGCATGCAAAAAAAAAATGCAGAAGCGATGGCTAGGGCCCAGATGCCAATGGACTACCTTTTTTTTTTGACGTTGCGCGGTCTTTTGGACAGCTGGCGTTCGCGTGTTTGCGCGACCTGGAATCTGATGGCTTGCACGCCCCTATCAGGTTACATAATCCCCAATGAGGCGAGTCACGAGCCGGAGGCCCTAACCCCAGGCCTTAACACCTAACCTCACGTCGGGACCCTAACCTGAGCTCTAGGGGTAGATTTTAGGTCACGTGCAGCCGTTTCGATTTGATGATCTGAGACCTGGTACCTAAGTCGGTACCAGGAATTACTTGCACGTACATCGTGCTTGACACCATTTAGTCAAAATTGGACGCGGCGATGATGCGGCGGACACGGCGAAGTGCATGGTAACTTCGCCGCGCCCCTCCTCTCGGACGCGGCGATACCGCCGCATGACGCGGCGGTATGCGGCGCTCCAACATGAGGGACGCGGCGCCACCGTGCACTTCGCCGCGCCGCTTGTGCACCCAATATCTTCAACCAGATTGCACACTCAAATATTGCAATATCCAAACAAAATAAGTGCCAGATGATGGACTTGGGGTGGTGCAGCGGGGCCGCCGCGTCAAGATCGGTGTGCGCCGCATCGGGTTTGGTGAGCGCCGCGTCGAGTAAGGTGAGCGCCTGTCGAGTATCGTGAGCGCATCATGTGTCCGGCTTTTGAAAGGGCCCATGCCCACCAAAAGTTCACAATATCTGTAACCAGTTTATATAACGTTGTATGCAAAAACCACATATTGAAATTTCTCCCCGTATGTCTTCAACATTGTTCACAATTTTGACGGCTATTTGCACAGCCACTTGTTGAACTAAATCGCGAATGAGACTCAATTGCAAAGGGCAAGATGTTGTCGCCCGATGGAAGAAACATCCTCTGTAAGGATTATTAGGTATAATTCCGTTCGAAATGATGCCTGGGAATGCTGAACGGCACAGAGCGGTGGCGTATAAAATGCTGCCACAGTGGGTAGAAAGTGACTCCTGCCGGCACAGCTCGCAAGTGCTTCAGGACCCAAAAATTGAGATTTGGGAGGCCATTGTGTTAAGCATTTACCGAGTGTGTAATCCGGATAAGAATACGGAGCTTGAGAGATGCGCGGCGCAACGCGGCGAAGTACCCGATGGCGCCGCGT